ACTGAAGAGGAATGACATTACATTGTCATCAAGAGTATTTCAACATCTGTTCTGAAGAACAATGCTGTGATAATATTCATAAGCCTTCAAGGAAGACCAATTAATATCTATTAATCAATTTCACACACCAATCACTAAAGTCAAAGATGAAGAAATTGAAGACTTCTACCAACCCCTTCAGTCTGAAATTGATCAACCATGTAGTTAACGTACATTGATAATTATGAGTGATTGGAACGTGAACATTGGAAACAGAGAAAGTATCAGTAGTGGGAAACTATGGCCTTAGTAACAAAAACTATGTTGGACATCACATGATAAGAATATTACAAGACTAACAACTTACTCATTGTAAATGAATTCAACAATATAAACGGTGATTTTACATGTGGACCTCACTGGATGGAACACACAGGAATGAAATGTACTACATCTCTGGAGAGAGATGATGGAGCTCAGTATCATTAGCCAGAACAAGGCCAGGAGCCCACTGTGGATCATGCCATCAATTTCTCATGGGCTGCTAAAAGAACCAATAGATCTGTGTTGGAAGAGGTGCAGCCAGAGTGCTCCCTGGAAGCTAGGATGCCAAATTTCGTCTCATACTTTGGACATATTATCAGGAGGGACCAGTCACTGGAGAAGGATATCATGTTTGGTAAGGTGGAGGGTCAGAGAAAAAGAGGAAGACCTCCAGCGAGATGAATTGGCAAAGTGGCAGCATCAATGGGCTCAAGTGTGGCAACAGTTGTGAGGTTGGCCCAGGACCAGGCAGTGTTTCATTCTGTTGTGCATAGGGTCATGAGTCAGTACCGACTCAATGACATTTAACAAGAACAAGTTAAGGTTGAAGTTTAAGAAATTAAACCAAGTCCATGAGAGCCAAAACATGACCTACTGAATATATCCCATTTGAATTTAGAGACCATTTCAAGAACAGATTTGATTCGCAATAACTTAATGACCGAAGACCAAAGGAGTTGTAGTTTTCATGTGATTTAATACATGAAAACAGCAAAAAGTCATTAAAAAGACAGGAAAGAAATGACCAAAATGGATGTCAGTGAACAGACTCTGACACCTACACTTGAACATAGAGAAGCTATAGCAAGCATTATATGAAATGTACAAAGACCTGGATTCAGAAAACCAAAAGGGAAAAACATACTCCGCATTTCTCAAGCTGAAAGAACTGAAGAAAAAGTCAAGCCTCAGTCATAATACTGAGTGATTCATTCTGCTCTAGGATAACCACAAGGTTGCCAATGCAAACCAATTAGCTAATCTTGGAAACTCTACATAGGTTTGCCATGAGGGGGAAACCAACTCCATGGCACCAAACATGGAGAAAGCACTGAATGACAAAGGAAGCATCCAAAGAAAATGGAAGCAACACCAAGTCACTGCACCACAAAGAACTGGTGGATATTTAACCACTCCAAAGGGGAGCATGATATCAAGAGCTGCTGGTACTGAATTAATCTGTCCAAGCTGTACTAAAGGCACTGGCAAAACCCAAAGCTCCAGGAATCGGTGGACTACAAACAGAAATGTTTCAGCAAAGCGATGCAGTGCTAGTGGTGCTCACTATTCATCAGTACCAAGAAATGTGGACAACAACTATCTGGCCAAATGACTGGAAAAAATCGTTATCTATGTCCATTCCCAAGAAAGGTGACTCAGTGGAATGCAGAAGTAACCTAGTATCATAAATATCACATGCAAGTATAATTTTGCTGAAGATAATTCAAAAACCACTGCAGCAATATATCAACAGGGAGCTGTCAGAAATTCAAGCTGGATTCAGAAGAGGACATGGAACCAAGGATATCATTGCAGACATCAGATGGAACCTGGTTGAAAGGAGAGAATACCAGAAAGATGTTTACTTGTGCTTTACGACAATGCAGACATTTAATTGTATGGATAATGAAAAATTATCGACAACATTATAGGAATGGCAGAACACTTAATTGTGCTCATAAGCAATCTATAAAGAGGCTATTATTAGAACAAAATGCGAGGAGACAAAATGGTTTCCAATCAGGAAAGGTGTGTGTCAGGGTTGTATCCTTTCACTATGCTCATTTAATCTGTATGTCGAGTAAATAATCTTGACATGCTGGATTGTAAGAACACGGTTTCAGGATTGGAGCAAGTCTAATGAAAAACCTGGAATATACAGATGACACAATCTTGCTTGCAGGAAGCGAAGAGGATTTAAGTACTTGCTGATTTAGATCAAAGAACAGACTTCAGTAGACTGCACATCAATGTGAGGAAAGCAAAAATCCTCAAAATAGGGCCAATACAAAATATGATAAATAGAAAAAAGATTAAAGTTGTCAAAGATTTCATTTTACTTGGACTCACAAATAACACTCATGGAAACAGTACTCATGAAATCAAACACACATATTGCTTTTAGGCAAGTCTGGTGTTAAAGACCTTTTAAAAATATTTGAGAAAAGATGTCAGTTTGAGGATTAAGATGAACCCAAGCCATGGTATTTTCAATTACCTCATATGCATGCATAAACTGGGTAAGGAATAAGGAAGACTGGAGAACAAACGATGCATTTAAATAATGGTGTTGGCTAGTAAGTCAAAGTACCACAGGCTACCAAAAGAACAAACAAATGTCTTGATCGGAAGTGCAGACAGAATGGTCCTTGAAAAGTGAAGATGGCAAGACTTATCTACATGCTTTGTACATGTTATCAGGAGGGACCAGTTCCTACAAAAGGACATCATGCCTGGCAAAGAAGAGGGTCAGTGAAAGCAAAGACCCCCAATCAGATGTATTAAAACAGTGGCTGCAACAACGGGCACAAACATGGCAATTGTGAGGTTGTACAGGACCAGGCAGTGTTTTGTTCTGTTGGGCACAGGATCACATAACTGACCCAACAGCACCTAACAAGAAGGAAACACTGGAAGTGCCCATTTAAGCCAATCATGTTTTCTGAAAACATAGCCAGCCACCAGCTATTTAAAATGTAACTTTTTTTTTTTTAACTTACAAAGAAGATCAGGTATTAAGACTATATGCCCAACTGTCATTTTATTATAAATGACAATATTAAATCTTTTAAGTGCCATCGAGTCAATTCTGACTCATAGTGACCCTGTAGAGGGTTTCCAAGGAACAGCTAGAGAGTTTAAACCACTGACGTTTCAGTTCAAAACAACCTTGTGGTCCAGTATTTATCCTACAACGCCACACCAGGACTCAAATATTAAATCTTAAAAAAAAAAAAAAAAAAAAAAAAATTAAATTAATAAAATTTCCTGAGAAAACTTGATCAAGAGCCTGGAACTGTTCTATAATTATGCGTGCACACACACACACATACATAATGAATTACTGTTCTTCCTATTATAAACTCATTAACATGTATTAAGATACTTAGTTTCAACAGACAGTTTGATTCAGTGTTTTGAAACCAATTATGAAATAAAATATTCTCTATCACATATCTGCTTCTGAAAATTCCACAGAATACCAAATGATTTACATTTTTGCTCTCAAAGTACTACTCAACTTATTTAGCTTTGAATGTATTAGCAAATCAGGTACAGCAGGATTTCCCTTCTCAGTCTCTTTAACGAGAATTTTCCATTTCCACTTCCACTTCAATATAGCATTAAATGTGAAGTTTCTTCCTTGCTGGTCCAGAGAACTGAAAGGACAACCAGATGCCATCCCAGGGCCCCTTCCTGCTGCCCACCCCGTCCTCAAGGAGGGGTCCATTACCCATTTCCCAACCAGACTTGGTGTGATGCACTTCCCAAGATACTTCCCCAAATGCAGCCTCTTCCCAAGTCCCACCTCACTGGGCACAATGAGATGGACTCAGCGTGGAGGAGAGAGTGGATGAGGGAAGGCCTTGGGTGAGTGTGAACCAACCTGTCAGGCAGGACATGTCACAGTCAGAGGAGATGAGCAAATTCTCTGAACAGCATTTCAGGAAGGAGAGGACAGAATCACCAACTGAGATTATGACTCACCTACCCACTGCCATGTAGTCAGTTCTGACTCACGGAACCCAGCAGTTTCCAAGCTGGGAGCAGAAAACCGCATCTTATTCCATCCGACAAGAATATGAGAGTTACCTGGGCAAGAGCCATTTCGACACCTCTTTCTTTCCTCCTCTGGGCTTCTTTCTAAGTAAGACCAATCTTGAGAAGTCAATCCTGAGTGTTGAATATATGCGGTTACATTCTTAGAATCAACATACCAGAGCCACAGCCACACACACAGGGAAGACCTCAACATGGGGAAAGACGGGGGGCCCTGCTGCCCACTGCCCCGTAACCTCCTAGGCAGAGCTCAACAGGAGTTTAAACATCCCCTCCTGGTGAAGCTCATACTCAGTTGCTGAACTGACCTCTCCTTCGGGTCCCAGACTAACCATGACATCACACTCCAGGCCGAATCAATTCCCCTCAACTACTCTGAATCAGGGAATAGTTTCACCCTCAGAAATGGATAACCCAGAGCCTTGTGCGCAATACAGGCTACAGATTAGAATCACCTGGGGGGATTAAACATTCTTGAAAATGGCCTCCACTCCAGCTATTTGATGAGACTCTGGGGAGACTGCAGAGTCATCATCGTTCAGTGACTTGGGGGTGGGAAAATTAAATTAGTTCCAGGACTCCCGTGAATACCCGAATCAGAGTACATTCAAGTCTTTTATATTTGCATATAACGTATGTACATCCTCCAGTAACAAACTTGATCGCACGAAACAATAACCAAATTACTTATGAGACCTACTTCAATGCCCATGTAAACAGCATTTATGATCCCCCTCAGCCTCTGTGGGACTGCTTTGACCACTTAATTCCTCATATCTTTCAATCTGGGTTTGGGCTACTCCACAGACATGGAGCCAAGGATACAGAAGGCCCGACTGTACTTGCAAAATGCCACAGCACTCTAGTGTGGAGCCAAGGCTGAGCCTACTGAGAGACCAGCTCAACACACCTCTCACCTGTGACTCTCTGCTCTCCCCGGGGGCAGAGCGGTCACCAGGATCCAGAAGGGAAGGCAGCAGGCATTATGGACCTAGGGTGGAGGTGAGGGTGTGGCAGGAAACTGACATGGGGGTTAGAGAAGTTGCCTGAGAAGGTGATGACAAAACAAAGAGCTGAGGGAGGGAGAGTGGTTTGTGAAGGCATTTGAGGCCAGGGTGGCAGGGCAGGTGTGTGAAGAGACTACAAATGAGATCGGATCAAAGGGGTCTTTAAAGTCCTTTTTGTCTCACACCAGAAGGATTTTTTGAAACTTGCCTATTTCCAATAACATCTTATTTTTTCTTTATTTCATCTTAAAACACTTAGAAATAGACTGCCTTTTGAGATGACGACTTACCCTTTCTCTGAAGATATTTAGGCAGAGGTAGAATAAACTTGATTATAGAGATTTCTGCCACTGCTCTTGAAGAATCCTGGGGCGCTTTCCAACTATAAGATTATGAGGCAAAGTAACAAAATTATAAGACTAAATAACTTTTACATTTGAAAACAAAACAAAAACTACTTAGAAATGATGTAATAGTCTACATTTTTAAAACATACTAAAATGGTCCCCTGAGCCCAAGGAACACTGGAGTCACCCTTAACTGAGATGCTGAGGACTGCATTTGGGGAAACGTGGAAGCCATTTCTGCACATTTGAAGTTGGAGGTGCCTGTGAGAGGCCTCTGCAGAGATGTGAGGAAGCAGCTGGAAACATGAGTCAGAGCTCAGGGCAGGACTGGCTGCAGGGGTGAAATGGAGATGTGTCATGGCGTTCAGGGCCATGAGATGAGATGCTAGGGATAAGCTGTGTGTGCAAACCGAGGCGAAAGATCGCTCCCAGCTGAGAGCAGGCAGTTGAGGAGACACCAGAGAGGGAAGTGAGACACCTGAGAAGGAGAGCAAGCGAGCAGATGGCCCCGTTTCCTTTCCTCCCTGCCACTCTCTCCATTTTAGTCTTTCAGTTTCTCAGCAAGCGTTCCCCGGCCATCTGTGGCTCCCCCGGGTTTTCTCTCCTCTCAGCGGGAGGAACTCCCAGGGACAAGGGGCAAGAAGGAGGGCTGGGGTGGTAAGAGCCGCGGGCCCCTCATCTCCCCCTCTTCCCATTCGGGGTCAGGACGTGAGGGCTAAGGGGAGGCGGGGGTCTCAGGAGAGGTGGGGGAGGGGGTGTCTCGGGAGAAAGGCGGGGCGTCAGCAGAGAGAGGGGGGAAGAGACTCAGGTTTCCCGAGAGGCGGGGGGTGCGGGGTGGGGGATCTCGGGAAACAAGTGGGGGTCCGAGGGGAGGCGCTGTGGTATGAGGCGTCAGATTGTAAAGCTGTTTGAACTGCAAGGTCAGCGGTTCAAGCTCACCCCAGCTGTCCTCGGAAACCCTATACAGGGTCGCTGTGGGTCGGAACCGACTCGATGGCACTTAGCAATAAGGGGAGGTGGAGGATTCGGGAGAGAGGAGGGGGTCCGAGGAGAGATGGCGCTTGGGGAGGGATCTCAGGGGAGGTGG